CCGCCGCGGTATTCCCCTCCCATTCTGTGTGTTCCTTCCCCCTCCCTCCCAACTCATAGTCGATGAAGATGTCTGCGGTGTTGGCAGCTCAAGGACGGTAACATTTGGCCCCGCCCCCATTTCTTCCTCGACCAGCTAAAATAATGGGCATAGCTATGGTACAATAAACTTTAGTTACTGCTGAGTCTTCCTTCCAAACTCCAAAGCACGTTTTGTAACACCTCGGTTCTGCCAAGTCGCCTGGAACCAGCAGCCATGTGCATTGTTGCTATTTGGTCCCGGTGCTGCCACGTAGCGTGGAAGAGTCGCTTTAAAGCTAAGCGAATGAGATGTATGCGCGATGTTATGTATGCACTTACGCTACATGTGGCAAGTTGAAATAGGATGCAGAAGAGAAAAACATGCTTTTGTTCTACCCTGTTTTGTATGAGAGCCGGGAAAGCGACTGGCTACGGGTTGGACGACCAAGGGGTCGGATTTCGAGTCCCGGTGGGGGTAAGAATTTTCACTTCTCCAGGTCGTCCAGACCGGCTCTGAGGGTACCGGGGCTCTTTCCCCGGGGGTAAAAAGGCTAGGGCGTGAAGCTAGTGACAAGGTCAAGAAAACGTAGGTCTCCACATCCATTCCCCCAGCCTTCATGGCGTAGTGTTTCGTTAGTTAAGTACAGGGACAATTTTACCTTTACCTTTACCGTGTTTTGTAAGGTCCAGCTATAAATGTCATGGCAAAGCGAGTTACTTCAAGTCAAAGTGACTGATTAATGGAAGATTTTATCGTTCTTTCACAAAGAGAATGCAGAAATAAATTATTACCTTACATTTGCAGCAGAAGCAAGCAATTCAGTGGCATTTATGGAATCCAAAAGTTCATTACCATGTATATAAAAGTCCGCCACTGGGCCATATCCTGAAACAGTTGAATTTGACCCATCTTTATGAAGCACTTCTTTAATAAAAACTCCGTGGTCCGCAAGCGAACTGTAGCGACCGAGCGACTTCATCGACAAGCCGCCGCTTGTCGATGAAGTTAGTGCAAACTTTAGAGGATAGAGGGTGTCGAATGGTCAGCGCAACGAATCCCTACGGCCGTTAATTTCGGTTTTCTCGACCGGAGCCGCTATTTCCTTGAAATAGCTCCTCAGTTATCCTCAAGAGGCTGAGTGAACCCCGTTCCAGACCCACTACTTCTCAGAAAATCTGGTAGCGCCGGGAATCGAACTCGGACCTCTGGATCTGTAGCCAGGAACTCTGATCACTAGATCACAGAGGTGGTCCGCACTTTCTTAGTATCAATTTTAATTTTATTGTCCCTTCTACACTAGGTTTTCCAACGCGATCTCTGCTTGTTGCTTGCAACATGCTGGTTTCTTGCTTGGGTTTCTCTTGTACCTTGAAGGTGAAGGCGATATTTTCCTCCGTTGGTGACTTTCACTGGACTACATGACGTCATATCCAAAAAGATAGAAATCTACCTCTCTAGAAATTTCCCGACTAACAATTATTCTCGCACCATTCAACTTCCTGCGCGTGCAATATGTGTAGCCCATAGTATCCTATTTCACTGAAAACACCAAAACAACACTTGGCAAAAAATACAAATTATGAAGCTTCTCTTTGTGTAATTATTGACTTTCTTCTGATAATAAAACAGTAACGAACGAGTAAGTGTTGTAAACCGAGAGAACTCAGTAAACCGACTGCACGCTGGCCGATGGCGATTTCCTCCTCCTTCACAGCTTTCATATCGGGTGTTTTCCACCCAAACCCCTAACCAAATAGTACCAGAGTGTTTTTCCGGGAGTAAAGCGGCAAGGGCTTGAAGCTGACCACTGTCCCTTATCTCGTGCAGAAGTAAAGAATAAGTAGAGCCTATATTTACAACACACATTTACTTAGTTAAGGGGATAATATTACCTTTACCAAAAAATACCGCTGAAATAGTTAGCAATCCTGCTTGGTATCCTAAAAAAAAAAAAGGATTTGAATCTAAGGCCTAAGGCCGCTTATTTTGATATGGGTTATATGGCTTCCTATATGTGAATGCTGGTACTGTAGCTCGAAATATGCTACAACCGCTCACTTCAACATCATTTTGAATTCATCATTCACACAAATGTACAATTTATTTATTGGACCGTCACAACACAACAATCAAAGAACTTCAGGGACAACGCCCAGATACAGTTCAATACATGTTTCGGCCACTAGTGGCCATCCTCAGGTGAATACACTTCAACAAACATACACCACTGAACTGCAGCACGTAAAGTCCGATACAATATCGTAAATCATTTAAGACAATTACAATAAGAATATAAAATATAGGTTATTCAAAACCAATAAAAGTCTTATATAGTTGAGGCTACATAAACCATACAGGTCAAACAGTGTCGTTAAATAACCCAAGAATCGTCCCATGAATCACCAATAAATGACAAAGGCAAAGTTATTCTGTACGTCATTAAAAAGACGTTCGAAAACATATTCAATTAATGAGAAAGTAGAGATGAACTGGGCAGAAACTTCTGTATGATACATAGTACGAAATTGCGTTAACTTCAATTCACTGAGCCTCAAGAAGGAGAGGTGATAAGGCTTCCTGTAGATACTGCACCTTCTGGGTTTTCTACTTAATCAATGCATCAGCGCGTTATGATTTATTACCGAAACGTATTGGTGATAACATCCAAGTTCTTGCAGAATGTGTATCGGTAACACAGTGATGATTAGGCAGGTGGAATTGAATTACCATGATACTACATCATCAAATGGAAACTGATGACACACCACGCATGCCAGATGCCATTCAGTGTTGCGGTCTGTTTGACAATGTTTCGCTCAAGGGAATAAGGTTGTAGGATTGTAGTCTAAACTTCTGGAAGTCTTAGAGTGTTTTATAAAAACAGGACACTTTTTTTCGTCATGTCATCTTTGTTTTATTTTGTAACGTTTTGTTAAACTCTTACCATGGAAGTATGGTAACCAAAATTATAATATGTAACAAAATATTAAATAACCCCCTGGAGTAGACTCTTTCTTGAGAAATCGACAGTTGCTCAGTTGAACCAGAAATTCTTTCCCTTTTATGGAATCCGAAGATCGGTACCGTGATCACAAAAACTCACTCTCAACCTAGAGACCGCCTATCCCGAGGTTTTTCCAGATTTTACTTACACTCACTGGGCAAATGTCAGGTTGTGTCTTAAACTATCCACGGCTGCTTCCTGATGAGGTCATTTTATTTCTCAATTGCCCTAATTATTCGAGCCGCACTATGGGCCTGTGATCGACTTAATCTTCCTGGGGGTAAAGGGCAGGAGGCACATAAGGCTGACAACCTCACCGCCCTCTGTGAACCAGATGTCTAGAAAATGTGGGAACCTCAGCATCTCACAACCCTATGGGCCTTTATTGTCTGTTACGGGAATAGTTAGTTAGTTAGTTATTGGAGAGGGTGGATTTCCCCATGCACTGAGACCTGTATTGGTCCATTGTGCTTCCCTCTATGATTTCTACCAGTCTCTATATCCTACCGGTACTGGTGCTTACCATCAGTCCCGTCCAGCCAGCGAGACCGGCTCTACTAGCTGAGAGGTATCTATAATGCTTCCCCCATCTACCAGAGGTACTTGAGACTGCTGTTTGGCGGGAAACGTCCGTTAATTTGGCTCAGTGACCTCCTTTGGAGATATGAGGTTCTTTTACGTGTCGTAAAGCTACGACACAGGACCCACGGCTTAAAGTCCCTCCCGGAGGACTTGTTCCCTGAATTTTTCCGCCCTTAAAAATTCGACGACCTCCGCCGGGTATTTGAACCCGCGTACCACGAGTCATGAGGTGGGAACGTTACCTCTAGACTACGGACGCCGCTGTTACAGGAATAACTTCTCACTTGATTACCAGCTATGCTATCTTAGGATTTCTGTGATTTCCTTAGCCTCTCTTGGAAACTGCTCGATATATACATAGGTCCAGACCGCCTCTGTGGTCTGGTGGTCAGAGTGCCTGGCTACAGATCCAGAGGTCCGGGTTCGATTGCCAGCGCTACCAGATTTTCTGAGAAGCAGTGGGTATGGAAAGGGGTCCACTCAGCCTCTTGAGGAGAAATGAGGAGCCATTTCAAGGAAATAGCGGCTCCGGTATTGAAAACCGAAATTAACGGCTGTAGGGATTCGTTCTGCTGACCACGTGACACCCTCTATCCGCTAAAGTTGGCACTAAACTTCGCCGAAAAGCGGCGGTCGGTATAGTTCGCTTAGGGACTAAAACCACGGAGTTTGTTTTGCTTTTTTATACATAGGTCCTATATACATATGTGTATGTACACACAACTCATGCAGTATACACTCTATGAGCTTTTAGTTCTGATGGCAGTGACTGAGTTTGATATCTATGTACCGACATTTTGGAAGAGCGTGTTGCCTCCATCTCCAGTGTACCTGATTGTTTACCATACTGCATGATGCTCCCCCGCCCCAAAAAAGCAATAATCAGAATGAGTATAGAGAATAGCAAGAATACTGGCCTATCTTGCTCTGATTATGTGGAAGTAACAGCAAAAAGAAGTACCTAATCTGATTTCTTGACGGATAAACGTAATACTTTTATATTTTTGACAACAGGCTTTATAACTTAATCATCGAAACCTTCAGACAAATAGGAGAGAGAGATTGTTTGAGATCAAGGTGCTGACGAGAATATTTGAACCTTAGAGAGGGGAAGTCCATCTACCAGGAGGGCATACAAAACTGCATATTGAGGAAATTCATAACTTGTACTCTTCACTAGACTCTGCTAGAAACAAAAGCAAGAAGGATAATGATGGACAGGACATGTAGCAGATATAAAAAGATGTGAACCATGGAGTTTGGTCAGACTGCAGGGATGACAACTGGAGAACTGTGTTTTGAATCTAGGAGGGGGTAAGGCACTCATGGATTGCAGCTAACCACTCACTTCCATCTAATGCTGAATAGAATAGTCTTATCTTCCTATTTTCAGGTGGTGGTGTTCCCGATGCTGGTAGCTTTGGCAGCAGCAGGAGGGTCAGGACCACTTAATTACACCACTGACTGGTGGGCAGGTGCAGTGGAAGAAGATGCAATTCGATCGCTACCTCTTGACGGGGAAGGAGGTCTCTGGACTAGCTCCTTCATACCACCTCCACCAAGACCTGACTTCTTGGATGATCATGCCACTCCAGATGGATTGACTACTTGTGATTTGTGCACATGGGCATGGCATGAGAGGGGACTCTTCTCATTGGACCCAAAACAAGGTATTTTTCCTTTATTCCCTTCATTCTTAACTTCACTAATACAACACCTAATATATATTAGTTATTAGCCATCACCTATTGAATTACCTGAGCTATGGCAATCATCACCTATTTATGTACTGTTTGTTTGTTTATTTGTTATGTAGTGATGCTGTCAGTAGTGAGACTATGTAGGATAATTAATAAATATAGATACATTGGTGAAATGATAATCGGTAGGGGAAACTGATGTACTTGGAGAAAACCTGCTTCAGTGCTACTTTTTCCAACACAAATCCCACATAATATCTGACCTAGGATCAAACCTGGGCTGCCACTGCAGGAAGTTGGCAACTAACTCCCTGAGCTATGATTTGCTTACTTACTCATGGAACTGAGCCCTTCTGGAGGAGCCGCCAATTCTGCAGCTACTCAAGAATTTCCCAGCATTTTATGGAACCTGAAGGTTCATTACCGCGTTCACAAGAGCCCTCCACTGGTCCCTATTCTGAGCCAGATCAATCCAATCAATACCATCCCATCCTCTCTCTTTAAGATCCATTTTAATATTGTCCCCCCACCTATGCCTTTGTCTTCCCAGTGGTCTCTTTCCTTCTGGCTTTCCCACCAATATCCTATACGCATTCCTCGTGGGCATGCCCTGCCCACCTCATCCTCATTAATTTGATCATTCTAATTATACTTGGAAAAGAGTACAAGTATGAAGATGACATGGCCCTGTAATAGGATTTTAATTAGATAATGGGTGAGTGATGGATATTGTGCTGAAAGAGACAGTGCTAGAAGATTAAGATGTTGCTAAATCGACGGCATGATCTTAACTGTCCTAAGTCTGGCACCACATCAGTTTGCAATGGTCTATACACTTTTATCTCCTTCTTGCATAAAGTTAAACAGGTTATGTCTCCAACTTCTCTCCAAGATCTGATGCTTAGATCTGTGGGTATTTATTTTTTTATAAACATAATAATATATCACTAAAACAAAATAACCACATCATTCTATTTTCATAAAATTATATTAAGTTTGTAAGCTGCGAAAGTGATAGATAGTATGAATACTGAAGACATGTTGACAATGGCTGATTAAACTCTCACCAGATGACAGAGGACCTATGATAGAAAATGTCAGGATGTCACTTCAGATTTCAAATTCAGTATTCTTTTCAGCATCTCATTAACTATTAAATAAAACATAACTAACATCTGTATTTCAGATACTCCCACCCATATTTTCTTTTGCCTCCCGATCACCCTGGTCTTTTCAGCATTCTAATGCTGCAATCCTCTAATCCTACCTTGACAGTATTATGATTGAGATGTTTATGGGTATAGATGATGGCAACTGAAGTTTTTCAATTTAGGAATGAAATGTCTGAATGCACTTAACGGTGTATTTAAATACTGATAGCTATAAATTATGTTTAAATTGTGACATCTGTAGCCTTATCTTAAGATATTAGGGCTGTAGCCTTTATTTAGAGGACGCACAGCTGTCTTGTGGTTGGTGCATCACTTTCCAAATCAGGATGATTGATATTTGAAAGTCATGTTTTTCTTTGTGGAAATTTTGAGTAGAAAACAGCATCTACAAACTGATGTTGAGAAATGTCAACAGATTTTGCATGATAATTCAAGAAAAGAAATTTAACTTCCTTACACTGCATCACATCAAGTTGAAGTCCTCCTTACCCATCTTGAAGACTGTGGACATAGTAAAAATTAATTTCTTTTTTTAACTTGCTTAGTGAGGGTTGGAGTCCAACTGGGTCTACTTGGCACGGCGGCCACTGATTGGCCTATTGTAGCCTGCCCTGGGTGATTATGATGATGAAGAATTTGGTGGAATGAAGATTGGCGGGGGAAACTGAAGTACTTAGAGAAAACCTGCCCCAGCACCATTTTGTCCACCACAAATCCCACTTGACAAGACCCAGGATCAAACCCGGGCCGCCGCCCAGTTAGTCAGCGACTAACTGCTTGAGCTATGGTGCAGCTTGAGGACATAGTATGTTGCTACTACTGAATGCTTCAGTAAATATGTACTTTCAAGGTTTGAAAATAAATGGCTCCAGATAAGACACATGATTCCTCACTAAATTAAATAATAAAATATGTCAAATTTGGATTCTAATCCTTATTTCCTTTTCATTACACATTAATTCCATTGAACTGAATAAGAAGACAATTTCCCATGTTTCCACTCGCATTCCTATGTTGTCTGCCAATAAAGAGTTTCCATGGTGTGATGCTGTATCAGCAAGAACAGAAAACGGTAAATCTTTGTCTGACAAATATTTATCCATCATGGATTTGCTTATGCACACAAATCAAATGCAAACAATTATTTCCTGAATGCAAAAAATTTGCGTATATGCACCCTTCTCTTGGGCACGACCCTAAAATATTGCAGTTCAGTCACCTTAATGTCAAGGTTATGTTTTTACCTTCCAAGGCCACGATATACTTGAAATGTCTACTGGAGAGCAATCCAAGCTATAGATTATTGCTTTTGATAACTTAAAGTAGTATGTATACATCTGGAAATTTCACTTGTGTATTTGTGTAAAAAATCTGTGTATCTAGGTACGCCTGGAAGAATTTATGCAGCCATATTCATCAATCCATGTTCAACCCATAGAGTATTAACATTTGTCCAATATGAGCTTATTTAATTTGTTGTTCTTAAGGGATCTAACTCCTGCATTGAATAATGGTGTACTGTACCATCCATATTACACACAATGGCATTTTTATTTATTATTTATTTAATGATGCTGGAAGTAACTCAGACTATACAGCATCAAATGGTAGGATGACTGGTGAACAATGAACTACAAACAATGCAGGAGGAAGTAATTGTGGCTTACTTTGAGGTACTATCCCAATGCCCCTACTCACTACACCACTTTATTTGGGCCCACCACAAGTATACAAGCATCACAAGTGCTACATATTTTATTTATTTTTGATTTGCATAATGACACTTTTAGCAGCTGAACCCATCTAGCACCAAGGCAGTGATCATTACAGTATTGTATAGTGGTCATATGTGATATACTACCCAGAAAATTGAAACCACTCTAACAATACATGAAGAAGGCACTGGGTTTGTGTTATATTTAATTTCAGAAACTTCAGGAGAACTGGGCTGGGTGCTCACCCTTGCCATTGTATCAATACTGTCAGCAGCAGTCGGTGCAGTGGTCATGGTTACTGTGCTCCAGTGTCGGAAGTGAGTTTTGTATTTACACTTAACTGTGCAAAATTTTAATGTAAAACATAAAGATACATTGCATACTTTTAAGTTTTGCAACGGTAAAGAGGTCACTGTTAATATGAAATTACAGTTTTTAAAATATGTGCAGAAAATCTTTGTTTGGTAAAGTAAAGACTGGAACTTTGCCTAAATTATATAAGGTTATGGATATAGCAAATGAATCAGACTTTCAGACCTTGGCAAAAAGCACAATAGAAGCAAAGTAAATGCACTTTTTTGAGAGCAGCGCATAGATACAAAATACATGCACATAAGAATAGTGAAGATATACAAATTAAACTAAAGAATTTCGAGAATAAGTAGTTGGAATATTCAGGAAGGATGTGAAATTCCACTATTACAAGGAGAGGACCTGAATGTCAGTAAGAACAGGAAGACATAAGACATTCAAGTATGCAACAGAGAGACCAGTTTCAAGACCTTCATAGTCATATTTTACAAATCTTAAAATAAAAAAAGTTTCTAACTCTCCTTATAGTTAGATTCTAAATACTTTACCATATGATATTACATTTCCATCCCTAGTACACAAGAGCCTAATTCAAGAAGACCAGTTTTGAATATGTTGAAATGTTTCCAAAATATTCAGAACTAGGAACAGAGGCTTTGGCTAGTAATACTGCAAGGGAAATTGTAAGGTTCATTTTCCTGGTGGGCATCTCCACAAGCTAAAAAATTAACAGTCTTATAATATCATTCTTTATTCAAAGCATCTGAAATGTTGGATGCAGCTGACTAGTATAGAGTTTTATATAATGAGTAGGGTTTGAGGAATTCATTAAGTTGTAAGGAGTTTGAGTCTAATTGGTGGTGTTATCATTCAATAACGTGCTTTGGCCTTTTTTTTTTTTTCGTGACATTGTTACTTCATCTGCATTAAAATCAATTTACTCATAGTGGCAGAAAACAACTGTAGTCTGTGTCCCATGAAGCACTCTGTCAGCATCAACCATTATATTGCTTTATTATGTTCTTCAAAGTTTGTGTTTGATGACATGAATAGTTAATTAGATATTTTGAAACATAATTTAGGTGCAGTAATTTTATCAGTTTTTATGAAGAAACTTCAGTCTGCAATTTCACACAAAAATATTCTCACCCAAGAGTGTACCTGATATTTGAATACATTCAGAAAAAGAAACAGTAAAACTTCAGGAACAATGATTTTGTGTACTTGCACCAAATGTTCACATCTTTCCATTGCTTGATGCCTAATGTTTCCACAGAAGTTAAACCAATAAGAACAGTTTCATGGCTGACAAACTTTGAAATTTATGCATACAGTTTAAATGACATTACAGAGTTCACTAAATACTTTTAAACATATATACTCATTACTCACTGTTGGTGTAATCATATGGTAGCAGCATATCAACACACATATTGACATTCACCAAAAATTAGTAATTTTTTTTTTATTTTCTTTCTACAGCAGGTATAAGAACGAAGAAATATCAGGTGAGTAATCATCATATTAGAGGTTGAATATGAGACATTGTATCTGACAAAACGAACTCTACAAGGGCAAGTGATCATGTTTGGGCTACTAGAGTAGTATAAATAGGGGCTTCTGTAGACTATCCTGTAAAATAATTATTTGATTTTATTATTTTTATTGCAAAAAGTACTGCCTTCTGGGATAAAACACTGTGTAGTCTATTGAAAGTCATCTGATGTTTCGGAGGAACATGTATGTTACATCCATCTTCAGGGTCAAAGAATATGCTTAGCAAGAAACCAGCATGAGAGCAGGTGGCAAGCAGAGCTTTCTTGCTGGTTTCTTGCTTATTTTATTTTTTTACCCTGAATATGGAAGTGACATGTACCTCTGTAGCACTGGTTGACTTTCAATGAGCTACAAGGCATTATATACCATAAGACAGAACTCTTCATAACCACCACTATGAAAGCCTCATATCCTACATACAATTGTTATTGTATTTACTGGCAGACAATAAGCAGTATTACAAAGAATACAGTAAGGGATAAATGGCTGCACTGTAAACCCACAGCTTGGGCCGCACCATAGCTCAAGCAGTTAGTCGCTGGCATCCCACCGCGGCGGCCCGGGTTCGATCCTGGGTCTGGTCAAGTGGGATTTGTGGTGGACAAAGTGGCGCTGGGGCAGGTTTTCTCTGAGTACTTCGGTTTCGCCTGCCACTCTTCATTCCACCAACTGTTCCACAATCACCCTCACCTATCATCTGGGGCCGGTACAATAGGCCAGAAGTGGCCGCAGTACAAGGGACTTAGTCCCACCCCACTAGCAATAATAATAATAATGAAAATAACTACACAGCCCAGAACGATGTCTACAGTTAACTTCATCCAGAACAGGGTGTCGAAAAATATTTTTACTAGTGGGTCAAATGTGGTTATACCAAAGTTGGCATAGGTCAAAGAGCCTCTGAAGGAAACTCTACTTAAAGAAAATGTGAAAAACATTTGAAGTGAGCCTACCTGACTATTTACAGTAAATGTGTGTGCTGGGAACCCCAAAACTTGTATTTCTGTCAGAGCTCCACATTTATTTTCTTATCATGATTACAATACTTTCTGATTGCCATGTACAAGAAGTGAAAATTAATAAAGAGCCATATTTCCCATATCAAAATACTGCCATGGACCATATTTTTCCCATATCTGGTTTAGTGGAACATCTGCCAATACCTATAACAGTTGCAAATAACAGAAAATATCTGGCATCAAATTTAACTACAAAGCACCAAGAAAATTAAGTACTTAATAATTTGAATAATTTGTAACCAAGTAATGCCACTTACCCTTTCTGAATACCTACACATATTATGTAAGTGGATTGCAACTGAATAGTAACAAAACATAACAGTATTGTTGTATTTCATATTTTCATTGCTGACCAGTTATGATTTTCAAACATCAGATATGTCAGCTCAATGCTTAACTGTAAATACAAATATTCCCTATTTTCAACTTTTTTTTTTGGCAGAAAAATCACACATTATTCCAAACATAATCTTAGCATTATTTATTACCCTAAACTATTTCTATTATCACTGACACATCTTGGCAAGCATTCCATTTTCCACTTTTGAATGAAAGTTGTACTGCGAGTATTACTTCTAAAAGTAAAAATCAATTGATATTAGGTGATTATTTGTAATTAAACAGGAACACACTTTAATAAAAATGGTCTCTCTCTCTCACAAGTTATGATCAAAAAGTACACAATAGTAGAGCACTAGCTCTATTAATTGGGCCCAACTGAGTAGGTTTTACCTGAGAATTCAGTCTCTGAAACACTGTATTTTGAAAAATAAAACAGGACGGTTTTTAGATAAAGACAGGACAATGGATGATGTCCAAAAACATAATATTTGTACTAATGTACCATCATCACAAACGTTTGGATCTTATTTACTTCTGTAACTGATGTTTTCGACTATTTGGAGCTCTTCTCTTTTGTAAATAACACTGTAGGATATATCAACCAACATAAATTATCCGTGTCTGTTATGAAAACTTCCTGTTAGCATTGTGTTGCATTTTATATACAATGTTCTCTTTTATAAAGAAAGGTGTTGCTACTCATATGACAGCAGAGGAGGCTGATGAAACGTTTAAGTTTTTAAAAAAACATCTGAAATATTGCACATAGCATTTATTAAAAAATGAAAAAGAAGTCAGTATATCAAAAACTTAGTAGCATGTATAAACACATCAAACACACAAAATGAATTTCATTTTATCCGGGCTTAACAATTTCAAAGTTCACCCAGCAGAACACACTTGCAGTCTTAGCCTTATAGCCTTGCAGTATGAATTTCTGCCAGATAATAAGAACAAAAATTTTCTTTCTGTCTATAATGGGGGCATGCAGTAGTGTAGTTGGTTGAGGCACCCTGCTACAAGCTGGAAGGTAAAGGGTTCAAGTCCTTATGAGGTGGATCTCTTTCAATTTACCTAATCGTTCCAGCCCCACTATGGCCCTGGGATTGACTCAGCCTGTAACAAATGAGTACAAGAAATCTTCCTGGGGAGTAAAGGGTGGCCAGTGTATAAGGCTGACAACCTTACCACCATCTGTAAACCAATTGTCTAGAGAAAATGTGGGAGCCTCAACGTCTCACAACCCTGTGGGCCTTCATGGCCTGTTACAGGGATAGCTTTATCTCTTTCACTGTCTATAATAGCAGTTCCAGTAATTTCAGAAGCTCCATTTGGAGATGAAGCTTGAACATATTCTGGACGATTAAGTACAAAAATGAATATGAACTAGAAATCACAAGGGGCATTCACCTCTGCTGCCCATGTAACAACTGTAGTTGTTGACGGACAACTTAAAAGTCAGACTGCATTGGTTGTAGAAGTGTGTAACTATCAACCCATCAAACAGTCAATTAAATATATCTTGTACACTAAATTAAAATATAATAATATAACCTAGATTCTGGACAGTGGCATTTCTTCCACTCCAGATGTAATGGCTGTACTACTGTCAGTCTGTTATAAGAGTCCCATTTGTAAAAAAAGAATGCAGCACAATTTGACACTGGCAGTAAGGTACATACATGTACAGTTTTTGGAAACTGCAGTTTGCCTCTGCATATTTTAAACTCAGCTTCTAATGATCCTTGTAATGTTTTAAACATTGAAAAAAGTCAAATACTGTATTTCAGAACTCATTATTTATCTATAAAAACATTCCAATTCAACTGAAGTTTGTAAGCAGCCCTTCTACTTTCAAAATAAAACTCATAAAACAATTGTGTTCTTGGAATTAATATGGTCATCAAGTTGTGGAAAGTAGAATATAATTACCATCTTAGACATATAAATTAGGCAATCCAGAGTGATGACAGCATACATGACATACATGTATACAGTCCTTTCAGAAAATTGAATTTGTTAATTTTATACAACAAATGATCACAGTGGCATACTATAGGTAATACCAGCCATTTCTGGTGAGGTGATGACTCATCTACCTCTACAGGTCTGTGCTCCCTCTGCACCACCAGGTCCCCAAATACAGCAGCTCCAGCATTACCCAGCTTGCCAGACAGAGACCAAAACCCTGAAGATAACAAACACATAACAACAACAAACTTCAGCAGTGGAGGTGGTAGGGGAGGAGGTGGTCGCGTATGGACCTGGCTGACTACACGTCGCACCACTACTGGACCTGCACAACTCTGCACCACAGCACAAACCACACCTGCTGAAAACCACTACACACTGGATGAAGCATATACAGCTGTAGGAGAAGCACTGTATGCAGAGCTAGACCGGGAACTAAGTGACAGTCCTGCATATCAGAACACAGCCTACAATGGTTCAGACACAGAACCTGATGCACCAGCTTCTTCCTCTGCCCCCAGCAGTGCTTATTATTCTGATCTGTCATGTGCAACGGGACCAGACCGAACCTATGAAGCAGTGGGACTTACTCTAGGTACAGCAAACCCATCCAATAACACCTGGGACGCAGGAGACATTGCACTGCGACGGCATCCCATGTCTCGCCTTGCTGCTATCACAGAAACCATTACTGTGCCTTCGGACTATGTATAGCCTGCTTCCTTGCAGACACTAGTACTGCAGTACATTTTAACCGTAAGCCAGTATGGTGCTACTAATGAACTGCATGGGGTCTCCATGCTTGGCAGAAGCCTATTTACTAGTCAAGCTTTAAATGTTTAGGAAGAATAGTGCAAATTCAGACTATTCCTGATTTTGAGCTCCAGCTATCAAAGCCTCCAAATGAAAACATGTGACATTTTCTTTTAACTGTATTTCACAAACCAGTAAACTCTTATGGTTGTCTGCAAGACATAAACAAAAATATATTCCTTAGCCAACTGTGCTGAAAACTGTAACAGTGATTATTAAATTTATGAGTAATGGTAAAAAAGTAGCAGCATGTATATTCTTTCTGAACTTTTAAAAGTAAATCACTTTTGTAAATTATTAAAATTAATAACTTGTGTTATACTGTGTATTATTAGTCTGTGACATTGATATGACTGTGGGACACTAGAGGAGGCCTGTTTATGTGATACATGAGTATAACTGTGAAAACATGTTGACATTTGCAAGAAACATGAAATGTGGGACATGATACATGATATAGTACTCCTGGTGTAGATGCTTCTTTAGAATATTTGCAATTATGGTGGAAGGAAGATTCATTTCTGGTTCATAATTGTAACCAGTGATGTAGACTGATTGATGAATAGGAGTCTCTGAAACTGAACTGTACAATAAAGCCTGATCAAAAGTCAGACATGTAACCTTTCAAATCATCTTAACTCTCTCTCTCACTGATCTTCGGTTCAAAGCAAATGCTTTTTGTACAGTGCCAGTAAATAGTCTGCAAATTGCTATCCTTTAGATAAGATTTTCTACATTCTGAAACCCACCTATTAATTTCATCATGCTATCACAAAATTGAACAATTTCAACCAAATTCTATGCATGACCTCCCCTACACTTTGTCATGTACTTTTGATTTTTGTTAAGTTTGGAGCATCTTAAAATTAATTTTACTTAAGGTTGTAAATAAACTCATCCACCTTGATATAATCACCATGACACTCACTCACTCATGGAGCTGAGCCCTTATTGAGAAGCTGCCGATTGTGCAGCTACTCAAGAACTCCCCAGCATTTCATAGAACCCAAAGGTTCTATACCACATTCACAAGAGACCTCTACTGGTCCCTAACATGAGCCAGATAAATCCAATCTATCCCATCCTGTCTCTCTAACATACATTTTAATATTGTCCACCCACCTACAGCTTGGTCTTCCTAGTGGTCTCTTTCCTTCTGGCTTTCCCACCACTATCCTATATGTATTCCTCCTCTCCCCTATTCATGCTACATGCCCTACCCATCTCATCATCCTTGATCATCCTAATTATATTTGGAGAATGGTACAAGTTTTGAAGCTCCTCATTATGCAGTTTCTCCAACCTCCTGTCACTTCATCCTTCTTCGGCCCAAATATTCTCTTCAACACCCTGTTCTCAAACACCCTCAGTCTCTGTTCCTCCCTTAACGTCAGAGATCAAGTTTCACACCCATACAGAACCACAGGTAAAATTACATACGTTTGTATATTCTAATTTCTATGTTTTTGGATAGCAGATGAGAAGATAAAAGGTTCTTGAATGAATGGTAGCAAGCACTACCCAAGTTCAATCCCCTCTTAATTTCCTCCTGAATCAGGTTTTCATTTGTTATAGTCGTCCCCAAATATTCGAACTGTGCAACATTTTCAGAACATCTGTTACCTATCTTTATGTCAAGATTTTGCCCTGCATTTTGGTGATGAGACAGCAACATATACTTAGTTCTCTCTGTGTTTACTTCTAGACCAACCTCTTTACTTGCGACAATTGAAGTTTGTCTTTTTCTTTATGGTATATATTGTCGCGTATTGGGCGTATATCGCGACAAATAACTTCACGCCGTATTTTATATAGCGAATTTTATTTCACATTCGCACTTACAATCACCCAAATTACAGATTTACGATTACTGCTATCTGCAGTATCACAAATAGTACACTCCAAATGCCACAATACAACTGACTGGTTGCTGGCTAACTCAGAACTAACTCGGAGGTAGCTCCAGGACTGACTGTGAATAGCCTTTGCTGCTCCTCATGTAGCCTCGATCGGACAATTGTCGTCTGGTGCCGTGTTGCTAGCCACGCTGTCCGGAGTTGTTGACTGATGCCTAGCAACCGCGATATCCCTCGGTGATGTCACCGCTGTTGACTCGCTTTGCATAGCTTCAAGGTTACGGGGACTCGGCTAATGTCGGCTCCGCTCGGCTCACTTCGGCTCCACTCGTGACGTCACCGCGGGGAGAGTTGCGGGGTGATTACTCGCCTATTACGCGAGCGCTACGTTACCGCTAAGTGCAGCTGGGGAGGTAGGGGTCAACATGTCACAATATATTATCACCCAGTGGATTCACATCATCAGCATACAACAAGAGCTGATGTGTCCCATTTAATTTCAGTCCCACCTGCTTTTCCTAGACCTTCATAATGGCATATTCTAAAGTGAAATTGAAAAGGAGTGGTGATAAAGCATCTCCTTGTTTTAGACCATTCTAATCACCTTAACATCATCTCTGAAAAGCACAAATTATGCAGTTTTCTTGAGCCTCCTGTTTCTTCTTCAGGTCCATATATTCTCCTCAGCACCCTGCTTTCAAACATCCTCAATTTGCCCCACCCACCGCCTAGGGGAGGGGATATGATGATGATGATGATGATGCTGTACATATACACACATATCCCATTCAGTTCTTATCATCAGGGCTTAATAAATCCTGCGTGACAGAACCTTCCAGCACTTAGAAATTACATCACAATACTTTTCCAATAATATTCCACTGGGTGGAATATACATGTCAAATCATGAACACTTGTAACCTCTCCTGTTTACAGTCACAGGTAACTCCTAGCTTTCAAGAAATATAAGAAACTCAGTAAATGAATCATTTCGCTTTTGCATTCTGTACTTCCTGTGTCTATATCTGTTCCATTATAAAGTACACATAATAAAATAATATAAGAACGATTCTGATTTAAGTGAGTAAACTCATAGTGGGGCCCTCTGGATTATGACATCGTGGTCTCATAGCTGCAGGCAGTATGATCCTTTGAGAAGTAGATCCCCAGTTAGTAGACAATACAGTGTTACAACCCAGAAGACCAAAATACGAATGGTAAAAATTGTTTTTAATTGCCAACCAGCCACTAAAATTCTGCTTATGGGGGGTAGTATATGCTTGTGAATATTCTGAGTTGATTCAAGCAACTATGGATATTTCACATATGTAAATACTGTCTCTTGTACAGTATTCTTCAAATCAAGTGCAGAAATATATTAAATACTTTTTACTGCAGAAAGGAGTCAGAAACAGTGATTATATAGCTCCTATACAAAGACTGCAGTTATCCAATTTTCCAATAAATCGTGCATTTGTTACAAGGCTACATTATTTTTGAAAATGTTGCCAAAAATTCAAGTGTTCTGTGATGAATGCAGTAGTCAAGGCTTTCAAGCATATTATAACAATGCATACTGAATAACTGCCATATATCAGTAAGGAACACAATCTCAGCACCTTGCATACAGTCAGAATACTTTCTTTAATGCTGCTTTACATCATACACTAGTTTACTCATATGCAAGCAGAGATATAAATTCCAAAGACCTAGCAGTTTGTCTTTTTAGGTTAACTGGTTAATGAAGTCAATGTCCATTTAACTTCATTGGTTATGTCAAGATATTGTGATGGGTTGCTCAAAGCATTAAGTTATGGAACCAGAAAAACTTGTGTAATGTGGTCAATAACAGAATTTCGGTTACTTAGTAGCCAAGGTCTTGATAATCAGGATAACAGAGGAACTATCAAAGACGTCCCCTAGGCAACAGATACAGAAATGGGCAGTTACATCAAAGACACATGAGGTGAACCCTTCAAGGAGGTGAGCTCCATATGGTTCGACTAGAACGTACCTCAGGGACAGAACTGACCAAAAGAAGGCAGAATACAGAAGGATAATGAAGAGAAGACTAGAGGCTAGTGCAAGATCCAGACAACAGTGAGCGATTCGTTATCCAGAAATGTGTCAAATGTGTGAACTGTTGTAATCAAGCGAAACTGTAATACAGACACCCAATAAATCCAATCAATCAAATGTAGAACTCACAAATATTAGTAAAGCGTGCCCCCTACACATGACAGTTGGTGTCAGAAAGTGGCTACTTACTTACTCATGGAGTTAGCGGCCTCCATTGTCACGACTCAAGTTACACAGGTTCAAACCCGGCGGAGGTCGTGGAATTTTTAAGGGCGGAAAAATTCAGGGAACAAGTCCTCCGGGAGGGACTTTTAAGCCGTGGGTCCCGTGTCGTAGGTTTATGGCACGTAAAAGATCCTCATGTCTCTAGGAGACCTCTGAGCAAAATTAGGCTAGTTTTCAATGCCTCCGGTAGATGGGGAAGTTATCGGGTACCAATGCCAGTAGAGGGCCGACCTCGCTGGCAGAAAGGGGAGATAGTGGGTACCAGTATCGGCAGGGTATGGTGACAGTAGAAATTAAAGGGGGACGTACAATAGACTATTAGCCGCGGTGCATGGGGAAACCCACCCCCTCCATATTGAATACTCACGGAGCTGAGCCCTTCTTGAGGAGCCGCCAATTCTGCAGCTACTCAAGAATTTCCCAGAATTTTACGGAACCTGAAGGTTCATTACCGTGTTCACAAGAGCCCTCCACTGGTCCCTATCCTGAGCCAGATCAATCCAATCCATCCCATCCCCCCCCTCTCTCTCTCTCAAGGATCCATTTCAATATTGTCCACCCACCTACACCTTCGTCTTCCCAGTGGCTCTTTCCTTCTGGCTTTCCCACCAATATCCTACATGCATTCCTCTTCGCCCCCATTCGTGCTACATGCCCTGCCCACCTCATCCTCCTTGACTTGATCATTCTAATTATACTTGGAGAAGAGTACAAGTTACGAAGCTCCTCATTATGCAGTTTTCTCCAACATCCTGTCACTTCATCAAAGTGTCAGAAAGTGGTTACAACAGTAAATTCATGACAATATTATAAAACAAAATTTAAAACTTAAGTATTATACCAGGGTTGGAACTTTAATAGTGGCAACACTGCTGTAGAGACGCCATGTAATGGAACCAAATAATGTCACTTATACCACATGTTAGTTACATACCTACCGTACCTAAGAGCAAATGGACTCTCCCTTCCCACATCAAGCACATGTGCAGTGACGAGAAGAAGAGAGCCTCATGTTAGCTGGCGGTCTAATGTAGTGTTGTCACGATGTTTTCGAAACAGGAACAACGGAGTTGGATAAAGATTGAATGTGCCAGTGGCCATAGTGTATGACAGTGTCATCAAGGTCTTCAAGAGGCTTGCGGGGAATCTGCATTGCATTACAGAACAGTGGCAAGGTGGGTAAAAGCCTTCAACGAGGGACGCCAAAATGTGGCAGACACATGTCGGCCAGGTCGTCCTAGTGTCAGTGAAGAAGTGTATGCTCTTTCCGTGTTACTGGAGCGTGATTGACGCCATACGATTCGTGAGCTGGCCCGAGAGACGGGATTAGCTCATATGACTGTTCTTCACAATCTGAAGGAACACCTGGGCTTGAGAAAAACTGCATCACAATGGGTTCCACATGATTTGACAGAAATGCAGAAATGGCTATCATATGATGCTGCTCGTAACCACTTGGAAGCGCTATGAGCACGATGGAGAGGCTTTCTTACACTGGATGAGACATGGGTCAAATCGTATGAGCCACAAATGAAATGCCAATTGAACGAATGGTGTCATTACTGGTCACCATGAAAATCAAAAGTTCATCAGAACCCCAGCAATGTGAAAGTTATGGTGATTCTTGTGTACGATTGTGAAGGTGTTATCCTAATGCATACCATTCCCTGACAAAAGACCGTCAATATGCAGTATTACTGTTCATTTTTGGAACACAACATGCGACCAGCTTTGAGAAAGAAACAGCGACACTTTCTGCAGAACCCACCCATCATTTTGCAGGACAATGCTCGGCCGCATGCAGCACAAGCTATGGCTGATTTGTTCGATTGATGGGGCTGGGAAGTGCTGTACCATCCACCATACTCCCCGGACTTAAGCCCTTGTAACTTCAACTTGACTCCTAAGATGAAGGAGCCACTTCGTGGCATTCGCTTCAGAAGTGTTCCAGAGATTCTTCAGGCAGTAGACCGCTCCATTCGAACTATCAACACAACAGGCGCTGCTAAAGGTATCCTACGACTTCCACAGCGCTGGCAACGGGTTGTACACAATGCTGGTGACTACACTGAAGGACAGTAAAACTTCGAAACATGCATCTATTCTGAATCAGTTGTAAATAAATAGTTGCCACTATTAAAGTTCCAACCCTTATAATTAGAGCCAATATTACTTTTGGTACAATAAAATACTTTGTACATCTACTTCATCTTCTGCAGTGTGAAAGCAATCTATGTCCACCACTGCTTCAATCCTTGGGAACTATTTAATTCATAATATGATCACTCTGAAGTGTCATGGTTAAGTCCAATGAACACTGTCCTCGCTAAACTATACATTCATTCACCTATTCATGAAATTTCCAGCATTATATGAAACTCAAAAGATTCATTAGTATGTTTACAGAAACCTCCCACTTAAATTGGATGTAATGTTATATTGGATTTTTGGACTTTATCCATTGTCCTGGTTTTTAAGATAACTAATAAAACACGACGTTTCGGAAACAGATCCAGTTTCCGAAACGTCGTGTTTTATTAGTTATCTTAAAAACCAGGACGATGGATAAAGTCCAAAAACCCAATATATCAGTGTGTTATACACTATCGTCAGAATCCTTTAGTAACTACTTGGATGTAATGTGTCATGGTGGTAAATAACAGGAAACTGATACTGTGGTCTTCTGGGAATTGATAGTGTATACTAGCAACAAAAGGCCTCCATATTGCAACTGCATGTTTATAACCCAAAAGGCCACAATATGAGTCTTCACCACCATGAAAACCTCAAACAATAGAACACTGGGAAAGTAGAAAAAGATCTGTGGTAGCCTAGCACAACGCACCTCCAGGCCAACTACCAACTTCTGGTTGACAGGCAGAGTGAAGCAAGTGCTAGCCAATCAGTGTGCACCACAGCAGTGCCAATGCCCATTGGGCCGGGAACAGATAATGAAACAGATATGGGGGAATTATTCCCATTTTTTTAGACTGTAGAGAAATATTGTAAATATACCTAGTAATATAGTGATTACACTCTGTAATGGTCTTCCTGAAGAAAGATATGCCATTTCTTCCACAAAAGAAAGTAAAAGCTGTCCTTGTGCTTAACTAATTAAGCATTACACCATGAAAATGTATGGGGGAGTGGATGCATAGATCCACATTTTCTTGACCTTTGCACTAGTTGGAGATGAGTGGTCATCTTCACACCTCCGCCACTTTACCCCCGGTACCCATTGTGTACCCATTGTATAGGAAGCTGAGTAGCCCGCAGAGTCAATCTGGACAACATGGAGAACAGAAAATTCTTGATCCTGCCAGGACTCAAATTCTGATCCTTTGGTTACCAGGGTCTTGTTTATAAAAAAGAATTACATCAAATGTGGGTTATGTTGGTAGAGCAGGCATTAATCCACACATCATACATGTCCCACATAATTCCCATCGTAAATTGTTATTAATTTTTGCAGCAAGTTTAAAATGAAAAAGGTAGAGTCCCTGTGCTTATTTAGTTAAGCACTATGCCATGAAGTCATGCAAGTATAGCGTCACCCTTCTTGACCACAGAACTAGATGGAGGTTCTGCTAGTGGGGTGGGACTAGGTCCCTCCTACTGTGGCCACTTTTTACCTACTGTACCAGTAGATGTTGGTAAGTGGTCAGCTTCATGCCCTTGCCACTTTACCACCTGGGAAAGAGTTCCTGGTACCCACTGGATAGGAGGCTGGGTGAGCACCTGGACACTGTGGAGACACGAAACATCTCACACCGCCAAGAATCTTACCCAGGCTATCCAGTCAGTAGCCTGTCACTACACTGACTGAGCTATCCCAACTCCCTAGTTTAAAAGGAAACTCAAGATAAATGTAACCACACTATAGCCGGCAACTCAAAATCCTTGTTGGTTTAGAGAATTTAAAAAATAATGGTTCCTTATAGGGAAGTCATCCAAAACCCTATACTCATGCATCAAACAGTACATGGTAAAGCACAGCAGCAGTTTCACTGCACCTGGAGATAATAAAAATCAACACAAGTCATTTCACTGATTTCCACACTTACCAGTAATAACAACAAAACATGAATTGTAAATAACTGTTTTAATGCAATTTTTATAAGCACATTTAATGGAAAACTTTTATAATTTTTTATGACTGTGGCTCTAAATAATGCTGGACACATTAAGTCCTGAACAGTTTCAAATGAGAACTGAATTTCAGATTTGCATTTATGCCAAGAGATTGTTGGTTATAACTGAAGTTTAGCTCTTATATAGAGAATTCAGAATATGCTATCCCAATCTGGAATAGCTTATTCTAAGACTGATAAGCAGGGCCCGGATTTTGATGACATGTCATCTTTTTTTCCTTGTATCCTATGCGATGCTCTTAAATATACAAATCTCGGATACGAGCTGCTGTTTACAGAAATGTAAATTTTATAGGTAATTTTTTGTCATTTTTAGGTTTAAGGTCATTTTTTAATTTTTTGGACTTTTAAGGGCATTTCTTGTCATATTTGGCCATTTTAGGGATTTTTTCTTCATATGTTTTCTGAAATGTGAATAACATGGAAGCGAAGTGTTCTTTCTTTTCTCCTTTAGGTCATTTTTCTGGATTTTTTTAAAAATATTTTCAGGTCATCAAAATCCAGGCCCTGCATATTACATTTTTCGGTCATATTTCAGGTAATTTTTCTTGATTTTTTAAATATTTCCAGGTCATCAAAATCTGGGCCCTGCTGATAAGTAATAAAATATTGTTCTCAACTATGTAGCTTTCACTTAGACAACTTGAGTGCATAATTCTCTAGTAAAAGAACTTCTCTCCTTTCAAACAAATCAAAACATATTTAAACATTTTTTCTCTTATACGAGTAATATTAGTAAGCATGATGTTCTTATTTAGAATAGGTTTGAGGAACTGTGGTATCCAATTCCAAACACATCTGGCTCCTGACATTAAAATAACTTACACGTGTAATCCATATACGAAATGAGCATGTTTCCTTTATTATTCACAATAAATATCCTGACAACACAAGCTCAACCTTCCTGCAAAGACAGTTTAGTGACGACAAGCCATGCAGTCGTATCTGATATGTGATCACTAACATACAAAATTGTGTGACCCTTGCAGGGTAAGACAAACAGGATGAAAAACTGGTGAGCAGAAGCAACTTGTAAAAGACAATGATTATAGATTTCTTACAATGCTCAAATTCAAGCACCCTTTCTTTTGAGATGCAGCATGGTTGAAAAATTAAGGCAATTTACACAGAGAAAGGCATTTATTGGGGGCATATCTTTTTAGTCAGACAAATACAAATTACCAATTATCCTGATGTATAAACCATGCTTATAACTCCATATTTCAGTCACTTAATTCACGTATTAATATATTCTATAAATTGACTGTATCCTAAACAGATCGTAAATGTGAAATACAAATTATAATTACCATAATTGTATGCAGTATTCCATTTTACTCAAGAGATATTTCTTACATGCTTGAGTCATACACTGCATGGCTGCAATCTAACTCCACCAGAACACATGAACAAAGGAGTCATGTTGCAGCTAAGTTTTAATATAAAGATAAATCATAAAAATGTGCCCCAATATATATTTCATTGGCTACTGAAATCAGATTATGGATACAGTCTCTAAAGAAGTAAAACTGGACAACACAAGATGTGCATATAGCAAAAACCCTTTACACAATCTGAAAGTTGCTATTTGCAATACCCTATGTATCTGAAGCCATTTTGCTAGAAAACCATTAACTTCAGACTGTATGTATCTGCCAATCAGAATAAAACCAAAAGCAAATAGTTAGAGTGTCAGTGCTACACAACATTAACACGGCATGTTACATAATAAATAAAGTGATACGAGCGTCATAGAGACTGTAGCACAAGGTCTGAATCCAAAAAGAATGCCACCTCGCCAATAGTTAAGGTTATACATCGCAAATTTTTATTAGCACATAAATGTACTGGTGACTGCTGATATACTATCACCATACCACAAATTTGTAATATTTAATTATGCAGTGTCAGCTTAAAATTATGGTATTACACAAACTTTCATTTCACATACAAGTCAATCACTTCAAATTACAAAACACATTTCAGTCAACTTCCGCATCATCATTTCTTCTGTGAGACATATCTAAATATATTTTTAGAGTACGCTCTTTACGAGTAGATGCAATGATACCAAGTCTGTTCACACGTGAACCTTCTCTGTTAGCAATTTCTTTCCTCTCTTCACTTGAAAGTTGTTTCAGTTCTTCTCTTGAATCTCTGAAAAGAAATATTGAAACATATGCTAATATCATGAACCTAATTATAATAATTAATTAAAGATTTCTGTAATTATTACCATTAAAAGTTTATACCCACACAGACTCCTCTGTCTGCACATGCAACTAGTCGAGATAAGAAACTTTTAAAATATGCCAAGATCAAAATTAAGTCTGCAAGCCAGTACCATAACTGCTATAACCCACCCTGAAATTTGTAATAAAACTGCAGGAAATTTCACAATGTTCCACACTGATAAATAAAAAGAAATACTCATCTTTCTGTACTGTCATGATTCAGGCGGTGCTAAAGACTGGTCAGAGTATCACTGCTCATCTGACCACCGGCATTTTGGTCATCTTTCTTTCCCTGAGGTCTGCATCAGTGCTCCCTTAGGCAGTTTATTTTCCCCTAGTCTTTCCATTGTCTGCTATATTTCTCAACATTCTTTATTTTATTATCTATTTTTTATTATTTTTTAATGCTAGTGGGGACTAAGTCCTGCGGCCACTTCTGGCCTATTATACCAGCTCCAGATGATAGGTGAGGGTGATTGTGGAGCAACTGGTGGAATGAAGATTGGCAGGGGAAACTGAAGTACTTGGAGAAAACCTGCCCCAGCGCCACTTTGTCCACCACAAATCCCACTTGACTACACCTGGGCTGCTGCAGTGGGAAGGCAGCGACTAACCGCTTGAGCTATGGCGTGGCCCAATGTCGTTATCTACATCAACTTGCTAACTGGTTAATGGCACATATGGTCTCTTAGTGTATATCCACCAGTTCATCAGAGGAAACTCACCTGCTGTGACTACTGTCTCTACAGTACCATGTGCCCTAAACATCATTCAGAGTCTTCCATTGCTATTATCACTGACACAATAAGGATTACTGGGGATACTCTGGTAACATACTATGACCCACTCGTACCAGATTCCTCATTACTATCAGAAACTTCTCAGGAATGTCATAAATAATCCACAGCTTCCAAGAACCAGTGAGATTGCTTAGGAAAACCTGGTTTCCATAATTTTATTTTCTGATTTTCAAGAAAGATAATACTGCAAATCAGATATCATAAGTTTTGAATGATAAGTAAACAGTGCATAATTCAACATGTCCTGAAATGCTATTCAACGGTGCAGTCTGTACATTGCATATAAAATCTATGCGTGGCTTAGAGTCTGGGATCTGCAACACACTTGCCCTATGAAGAGCAACAATCTTGTCCTACCTGTACAAGATAACATGTCCATCTTCGAAGATGCCAGGTGGCCAATTGTCAAGTGTTGCTGTTTCAGTATTCCAGCCAAGCTCTGTGTGTATACCAAGAACTGACATTTCACAGGGGAATGAACCTTGCCCCTTTGCAAATTCCACATATTCAGCTGGGATGCCACTAAGATTTGACAACTGAAACATACAGTACTTTCATCATGGAGCGTACAGTTATATAAAACGTAATTCTGTAAAACTGAGGGACACCAATGCTGTGGACTCTTGGCTAAAAGTCAATGGCACTGATAATTGTACAAAAGACTAGCTTAATATCTGTTCTTTTCCCAGGTTTTCTTCTACATAAATTGTACTGAAATAATCAATAAAAGTGTTTATTTATTAAAATGGCAACAAGCAGTTCCTGCAAAATGCTGGTAACCTTCTTATCTGCCCTTATGGCATCACATCCTAGCCCAGTGGTTCTGAACCTTTGTGAGACTGAGGCCTGGTAAATTCTTTTTTATAAGACGAGGGCCTGGTACAATTGATGTCAGGACCCGCTACCGGGCCGTGGCCCAGCGGTTGAGAAACACTGTCCTAGATGACAGCAATCTTCTAAGCCACCACTGCAGGAACCTCAACTCTAACAAGCAAAATCAATTCCTGACTTACACAGTGTCCAGGATCCGTCAGGACTCATTTTTTTTTTAAATTTGTCCTGCAATGTCATCTGCTGGCAAGTCATGGCATTAAGATTCTTGAAGTTTCAGCTGTGGCTGTCTATAATTTCAAAGAGCAAGCATCACTGCATCATGTGTTCTTACCTTGAATGTAACAGTACTGCTGTGACGCTCGTAGGAAAATGATGGTTGAACATAGAGCCAACATCAAATTTTGTTTGAAGTTAGGCAAAACAGCCAGAGAAGTGTATGAAATGATGAAAAGTGTGTATGGTAGTGATTGTTTGAGTTGCTCGAATATTTTTTGATGGTATGCTGTATTTCATGAAGGCAGGGAGGATACTGAAGATGCTCCATGTGCATCAAAGCCGAGAACAAGTTGCACTGAAGAAAATGTGAAAAAAAGTGACTGAAATCCTTGCAGCAGACAGATATGTTTCTGCAAGACTCATCGAGGAGCTTTTGGGAATACCAAAAAGTACTGTGCATCAAATTTTGATCGAGGACTTGGGCAAATGGAAGGTCTGTGCACAGTTTGTACCGCAAGCGCTGTCAGGCGATGAAAAACATGCCTGAGTGGAACACTGTAAAGACCGGTCGGCCCAAAGTGATACAAAATTTACAAAATTGATTGTTACTGGTGATGAGACATGGTGTTTTCAATATGAGCCTCTCACAATGCCGCAGAGTGCAGCGTGGCTGAGCCCAACGAAGCCAAAACCAAAGAAAGTGCGCATACAAAGAGTCGAGTAAAGACACTGCTAACCGTTTTCTTCGATTCCAAAGGAATCATTCACAAGGAACTTCTGTCAGAAGGTCAAACAGTGAATTCTGATTATTATCTCAGAGTCCTCAATTGGTTGTAGTGAGAATTCTTTGAATTCGACCTGAATATTGAGAGCAACATTCCTGGTTGCTCCTCCACGACAATGTGCCACTGCTAACAGTTTTCTTCGATTCCAAAGGAACCATTCATGAGGAATTTCTGCCAGAAGGTCAAACAGTGAATTCTGATTATTATCTCGGAGTCCTCAGCCATTTGTGGGCGAGAATCCTTAGAATTCGACCTGAATATCGAGAGCAAGGTTCCTGGTCGCTCCTCCACGACAATGCCCCACTCCAGAAATCGAAGATCGTGCGCGATTTTTTGGCCAGAAAAGGGATCACAGTCCTTGATCATCCTCTGTATTCGCCAGATTTGGCTCAAGCAGATTTCTGGTTGTTTCCAAAAGTTAAGTTGGTGATGAATGGAGACCGTCACGACACCATCCAGGACAACCAAAGGGAATGTACCGCAGTTTTAAATGCAATTCCACAAAAGGAGTACAGTGACTGTTTTCGAAAACTTTTCAATCGACTCCAGCTATGTATTGATTCAGGAGACTATTTTGAAGAAAAAGAGTGAAATTTTGAAAATAATTCACGTTTTGTATTTTTATTGAACACAGTCCTAACAGAACCTGGACACAATGTGTGTGCAGTGTGATATCTGTCTGCAATTGAGTCTGTAATACGGGATACATAGTTGAGACAAAAATGAACATTTAAACCAATGGTATAATAATAATGAAATGTGTATTCCATAAATGCACATATAAGTAGTGTATTTCTTTCCACTGTTATTTGACATTGAATGGGTAAGTTTGTGCACTTGAGAATGAAATGTTTTTTCTCTGACCTAGATTAATTCTGACAGTTTATACTCTGATTTCTCAACAGCAGTTTTAACCTCTAATAACATACCACCAAGCTCTTTTGGCTTGGGAGTATGCAAGTCAATCCACCAAACTTTGTTACGCTTTCATACACTAATAATAAAATAATCTCCCTATAAAACTGCGACTGCGATGAGGGCCACAGAAAACTTTCACTGCGATCATATTGATGAATCTGATTAGAGCTGAAACAAAAATGCATTAAGTTTATGGTTAATGTGATGAGATACTAGATAGGTACCAATATTTGGAGAACCTCCTGTCTCCATCTTCAAGGTGGAGATGGAGGGAGCACATTTCTCCAAATTGCTGCATATGTCTACTAACCTGTAACACAAAAACCCAAATTCTGAAGGCCCAAAAGCTGCTTATTAGAGAATGTTACTGAAACAGTACAACCAACCTTGGTCTTTAATTCCATTACTGTTGACTCATCAAGCAACACTTCCTCAAAGGCCTTCAATTCCAGGTTGGCAGGACACCAGCGCCGTACAAAAAGCACTAGTTGATTACTAGATGTGATTTTCTCTGGCTCGGGTAGTTCTTGCAAGAACATCTCCCAATTTGGGAACAGGCTGATGTCCTGTTCGAATCGTTGATCATTAAGATAAATTTCTGCTGGGTTCTTCCAACTTTTCTTTCGAAGGCGACACCTATATTAAATGATGTCTTATATCAGATTACTTACTATAAGATTATGAAACAGTATGTAATGGTGTGTCCCCAATATACTATACTGGTGTATATGATAGTTTTCCTCAAAAAATAGACCAAAAAATCACAGTACACCTTATACACTGGGAAATATGGTAATCAAAATCAACTTGTTAGCTCCCCACTGCATCTGCTCAGTAATGAATGCAAACCAATCCTGTTCATAGCTTTAGGTCATCCGTGGAGCACTCTCCTTCACTATCTGTCCATTGTGATACCTGAATACTGACTCGACTCAATGTTGAACATGTCAATGCTGCATCAAGGAGTGTGTAAAGCTACAACTTTCATAATTCATATTTCTGTTCACTCTTACAGAAAGATATCAGTTCAGGCAGCAATACTGACCTTTCATATGGGATATCTATTGAATATTTTCTTTTAATTTCTTCCAAGATTTCTTTCTTCACTTCACCAACAGTCATCCCTTTGCTAAGAATCCAGTCACACAAGAACTTAATAGGCTAAAACAAAATAACAAAGACTGTCACAAATAATGCATGAACCATAAACATACTTTTATAAACTGGACATTTAGTTTTCTAGCACTTTATCATAAAAATACTGAAAGATAAATATGCTGTGAAAAATGGATATTGGAAAACGTCACTGTAGCACTCTTTCCAGACAAGAGCACAGGACAATTAGAATATGTGACAATATTCATGTCTTTAAATTATATCTCTACAGGTGACAAAATTTTGAAATGTAATTACAAACCACAGTCTTTTATTCATGCAACAGAATAATAAAAAAAGAAATGTGAACTAGCTGTGTGCATAACATTTTAAGACACAAAAACATCAGAAGTTCATCCTAGTCCAAATTATACAAAATGCAAACTCACAGGCTGGATGTGATTTTTTTTTCAAAACATGAAAAAGAAGATACATGACAGCTCAAGCAGGGGTGCCACCCAACAAATCCAAAGAACTGTGACATGTTACCTCTAATATGCTGGTTGACTTCTTTAATAAATACGTTACGCAGGCATTTTCCAAAACAGCCACGCGGACATACACAGATATACAGGATGTCCCAGGAGTGTGGTGTCATACTTCAGGAGCATGCTGAGGGTTCCCTATTGAATAACTTTGAAATAGGAACCCATGTCCACAAATGTAAAATAGCAGCGCTAGGGCGGCATTTAAAATCATTTTGTTTATACGTGGTGCCTCAATGTCGAACTGCATTGCATAGAGGAACAGCCATCCACCAACACTTGCGCCATTGCCAAGGTTGTGGGGACATCAAAGGCAAGTGCTTGGAGGATCCTGCATGACCAACAACTTTATCCGTATCATCCAACGTGAGTACATGACGTGGGTCCAGCTGACTTTGTCCCATGAGTTCAATTTTGTCAGTGGATACTGAACCAGTGTTTACATCAGCCCAACTTCCTGAATCACTTGCTCTTCACAGACGAAGCGCAGTTTACAAGGGATGGCTGGTTCAACTGTTGAAAACAGCCACGTTTGGGCTGATGAAAACCCCAACGTTACTGTAGTTGGTTACCAACAGGCACAATTTTCTGTCAATGTCTGGGCAAGCATCATTGGCAATCACTTGATTGGTCCTTTCCTCCTACCACCATGACTCAATGGGCCCTTTTACAAGGTGTTCCTGGAACATGTGCCACTGACTGTGCGGAGGCAAATGTGGATACAGCATGATGGAGCACCGGCACACTTCAGCATTGTATCATGAGACTACCTGGATGCTGTTTTTCATGGTTGTTGGATAGGAAGAGGAAGCCCAGTGCCTCGGCCACCCTGATCCCCAGACTTGACACCTCTGGACTATTTTGTCTGGGGCCATGTGAAAAGCCTGATCTATCACATGCTTGTGGATAATGAATTCGAGCTGTTGGTCAGAATACTTGTTGCATGTGACGCGATCTGTGAGACACCTGGAATATTTGAACGGGTGTGCCAATTCCAACATCTACTCTAGCAGGTGAGTCTTAAAAGTTTGGAGGGGGTAATATGTCTGTGCATGCTCTTCAACATTGAGGCACCAAGTTTAAACAAAATGATATTAGCCTTTAGCCTTTAAGAGCCTAGCGACACCATATGGAGACCTTTAAAGTGCAGCCGAGTGGTCGTGCGACACTGTATGGGTACGCGCAGTCCACGTGTGTACAGTGTTTTAAAATCTAATTTTAAGATAGAAATTCTTGTTCTACTTATATTATTTTTGGGCACCAGCTTTATAAGTAGACAGTTTTCCCTCCTGCGTCATCTAACTGAATGTTGCCTTCGTGTGGTACTGTTGGAAACATCCGGAAATGCAGAGTCCAACATTGCACTTCATGCACTTTGTCCGGATGTAACTCCATTTCCCACGCGAAGAGCACACACGACACCTCAGTCTCGTACTAGAGGAAGTCGGCCAGTAATGTCGAGTGGCCTCCTCTAATAGAGATATCGTTGATGACACAGCAGGAGGTTGACCCATCAACCGTTGAGGGAGAGGTAGACCCCTTGCAGCATGTTCCAGCATGTTGTGCACAAAGGCGAGACAAAATTCTCTGCGTGACAATTTCACGCCACAGGATGACAACAGGATGAAACTGTTCAGAATCGTCAGATCCAGGAGATGGAAAAATAGTTTATTTGTCCATTTCCAGGTCCGACAACTGATGCTATAACTGTTTGCCATTCTGTCCGCTTTGTCGACATAACCCATGTGCGTGTTGTAGTCAACAACAATGGCATTTCCATGCTCATCACAGAGACGGCCTTCTGCTGGAGGACAGTGCATGTTTGTTAGTATGTCAACGTCATGTTTGTCCTTCCAAACTAGTGCTGTCAAGTTCCATCTCATCCTAACATGAATATCACCTTTCTTCAGTTGAAATTGTCTTCGTCGAAAATTGTCAGGCAAGCCCTTCCGATTAGGTCTGACTGTCCCTTAGCATGTTATGTCCTTTGTCAACAGTTTGTCAAACAAATCGTGACGAAAAGAAATTGTCCCTGTACAGTTTGTGACCTATGCCCTCAATACGTCTGCATAGGTCCCTAACTGTAGCATGTGTCGCTGTCACATCTTGGTCGGCATGTGTCCTTTCTTTTCCTAGGTAAACCTTCATGTCATAAGTATACCCAGTGGCGTCACAAATTTTGAAGATTTTGATTCCAACATGTTTGTGTTTCTTAGGTATGTACTGCCTAAAAACCACCCTCCCTCTGAATTTAACAATTATCTCGTCTATGGCCAAATGTTTCGAAGTGTTTCATGTGTGTCATTGAGTGTGTCGAAGATTGTCCGAATTTTCCATAGTCGGTCATAACTGTTGACATTTCTGTCAGTTTCTGTATTGTTGTCTGCAAAATGAAGAAAACAAAGAATGTGTAGAAAACGGTCGCGTTTCATCGTGTTAGAGTAGAAAGGCATGGCAAATTGTTCTACAGTCGACCAGTGGTTCTTTAGTCTGTCTCTAATGTCATGTCCCATTTGAATGATTATTCCTAGAAACAGAAACATCTCGGAATCGGTCATGTCAGGCTGCGGAGAAGGTCCGTCTTGAAGCCTGTCTAGGTACTGGAGGTAGTACCTGTTCGTCTCTTCCACCAGCAGATGGATAATCCCTGCGAAGCAGAGCATGAAAACGCAGAAAGGGGTGGAATCCTTATTTACCTGTGGAGTTTCACTGATATTTAACCCCAGAGCTCCACTGGAATAATTATTCACACCCCTCCTGCCATGCTGGTCTGGTGGTCACCAGGTTGCTGACGAAGATGATGAGTCTTCGTCGACTTCGGTTTCTGAGCCCCTTGCTTCCTCACCACTCTCAGAGTCGTTCGTACTGCAGTCTGAATCGGTGTCATTTATCAGCTGCCTCTCAATTTTGGAGTCTTCCATGCAAAATGAGGCCATGGTGAATAGTTAAAATTGCGATGTTTTATACACAACACAACGCGCTAGGCTTGAACGTTCTGGCAGTGTGGGGCTATTCCTAGAACAGTACCTCTGTGTGGCTAGTCCGAGATATACGATGGGGTACCCAAAAGAAACCGAACTAATTTTTTTGTGGGCAGAGCTTTTGTAGTACCATGTTTTGCCGCTATGAGTGCATAGAGCTAACATTCCTGAGTTGATAAGCAGACTACCGCTGCTTCAGAAGGTAAGGACTAGTTTCGGCAGAGTTTATAGTCACAACTGTTTTGTGTGATCGTCGTTTTCGCAATGGCTGATTATTGTGAACAGTGTGTGGTGGTGAAATTCTGCTTTTTGCTTGGGAAAAGTGCAACAGAAACTCTTGAAATGTTAAAAACGGCGTACAAAGATGATGCTATGGGGAAAACTCAAGTGTTTGAGTGGTTTTCCCGTTTCAAAAATGGTGAAATGTCAATTGATGACAAACCTCATTCTGGTTGTCCTTCCACGGCCCGAACACATGAAAATGTTGAAAAAATTCGTGAAATTATCAAGGAAGATTGAAGACGGACCATTGAAGAAATTGTAGAGCTGTCGGGAGTGACTTGGAGCTCAGTTCAGCGAATTTTGACAGAAGATTTGGGAATGAAAAGGGTGGCTGCGAAATTCGTGCCATGACTGCTGACTGCTGAACAAAAACAAGGTAGTGTGGAAACATGCTGTGCTTTGAAAGAAGAGTTCCGAAATGATCAAAACTTTTTTTAAAAAATTATCACCGGTGATGAAACCTGGTGCTGTGCTTATGATCCTGAATCAAAGCAACAATCAAGCCAGTGGAAGACTTCAAGTTCGCCTCGCCCCAAGAAAGCTCGTCAGGTGAAATCAAACATGAGAACAATGCTGATTTGTTTTTTCAATGTGAGACGAGTCGTCCATTCAGAGTTTGTTCCGCAGGGTCAGACAGTTAACCANGTGTGGAAACATGCTGTGCTTTGAAAGAAGAGTTCCGAAATGATCAAAACTTTTTTTAAAAAATTATCACCGGTGATGAAACCTGGTGCTGTGCTTATGATCCTGAATCAAAGCAACAATCAAGCCAGTGGAAGACTTCAAGTTCGCCTCGCCCCAAGAAAGCTCGTCAGGTGAAATCAAACATGAGAACAATGCTGATTTGTTTTTTCAATGTGAGACGAGTCGTCCATTCAGAGTTTGTTCCGCAGGGTCAGACAGTTAACCAGGCTTTCTACTTGGAAGTTTTGAAAAGATTGCGCAACAGTTTGCGGCGGAAGCGGCCAGATTTGTGGCAGTCGGGTGACTGGTTTTTCCATCATGACCATGCCCCTGCTGATACAGCCCTGTCTGTACGACAATTCTTGACCAAAAATGGTATGACCCCTGTTCCTCACCCTCCATACTAACCTGACCTTGTCCCATGTGACTTTTTTTTTGTTTCCTCGAATGAAAAGAGACATGAAAGGGAAGCGTTTTGCTGATGTTGCTGAGGTGAAGGAAAAAATGACGGAGGCGCTGTCAAGCATCTCAAAAGATGTTTTTAGACAATGTTTTGAAAAATGGAATAAAAGACTAGACAAGTGTATTAGTGTAAGTGGAGAGTACTTTGAAGGGGATTGAAGGTTTGTGCTTAAAATTTGAATAAATAAGTTAAAAAAAATAAGTTCGGTTTCTTTTCTTGTACATAGTCAGAGTCTCTGAAGGACAAAATATGATTGCAATACAAACATAAACTTCCACTCCTTTTGCCAGATAAGACACAGCAAGACAGGATATCAGCAGCAAGCATTTATACTGCAGAAACGTTTTGTGTAGGAACTGTATGCAAATTTGTGGGGCAGCCGCTCGAAATTGGGAAAAAATTACTTTTTGGAATCAGTGCAACAATTTTTATACAGATTTTAAAATCGGTATTTTACAATATCTGATTCTGTATTCTTTCTAGATAAAAGCAGCTTTTATTTCGATCGTTTATCACAAAAATTGTAGAAATCACATCATTTTCAGTAACATGCTTACAATTTTTAATACCCTACAATGGCGGGCATTTAAATTAACTCCGGCCTGCTGCCATTACTGGAATTTAAATGGGCCATCTCTTAAAGGTTAAACGCTGCCCCAGCACTGCTATTTTACGTTTGCGGACATGGGTTCCTATTTCAAAGTTGTTCTATAGGGAACCCTCAGTACACTCCTGAAGTATGGCACCAAACACCTGGGAAAACCTGTATACACAATTCTTATGATTCTTACCATATGCTATACCATTTCAGTTCCAAAGGTTCCATTTCAGCAGTCTTGCATGACATGACCAAAAAGACTTCTGCTGATGAAGATCAAGATTTCCCAATATGAACTTGAATTTTCCTATTTTTTAATATACCAAAGAATGTCTCATATGGTAACAATTTTTGTTTCTACCTCATGCTGTTTACAAGAATCTGTGGAAAGCATCCACCTCTCCACCAGTGTGCACATCTATCCAACCATTAGTTTGCATAAATGGGTTATGAGCATCAACAAAATGAGCTTGAAAAAATATCCTGCACTTTACAGAACTACTTGGATCATTATTCATTTTGGTGGCTATACCGAATACTTATACAATAGTGAATTAAGTTCTTTAATTTCAAATTTGTGAAAACTTCAAATGTTTTCCTTATTCCTATTCAAATAATGATTTTCTCATTATAATATAATTTTCATCGGATTTAAATTTCTTACAGTGATGACTATAAAGAGTACGGTCATCCATGTTTAACACTGCATAGTGCATACACAAGACAACATACTGCTTCCATTTTAAGGGTCAAAGAGCAAGCAAAGCAAGAAAGAAACAAGCACTAAGCAGTGTTATTCTTCATTCACTTCTTTAGCCAGGCAGATAGAAAGACAGACTGATTAACAGACAGATCCCAGAAAGCAGATTTCAATAAGTTAGAATACAATATTTTCAGACGAGTTTACAAACCTGTGAAATCACCAACAATTTTCTAACAATTACACATTGCAAAGCAAGCCTTGCTGTAACAACATTGATCTGTTATGTCAATATTTGTTACCTCCTGGAAGTACACTGCCAATATTACCTCTGGAGAGTTAGGCAAGAGTTGAAACACTTTCCCTCGGTGTTCATCTTTCTTTAATACTCTGTCAAGTCTGACTATAAGTTTTTCATCATCACGATATGAACCTAAATTCTCAGTGAGTCGAGCACACTCGAATTCTTGCTGCCCACTTTTAAGGCGGTATATCTTGAAGTATTCCACTGGAACTCCAATGTAAGGTTCCAAATCCTTCTTCAAGGTCCCTAGGAACATCCTCTTGTCCACGAGCACCTTCAACACTGAAACAGTAGCAATATACGAGTAAGCTAAACTGGACCTATTAAAGCCCTGCAATCCTGAAGGTTTACACACACACACACACATACACACACACATATATATATATATATAAACAAAGCAACAAGCTGAAAAATGGTAAGTACTTTTCTGATTGTCATTGTCTGTATATGGAACAGCTTTGAAGTAGTAGTTGGTAGACCTGGTTGTGGCACTTGCAGTGTCGTTTTCTTCGTCATCCCAGTTTTCTGTCTGTTCCTGAAAAGAGACCAGGTCAACAGAAAATACATTTCCAATGTATGAACTGACATCCTTGGCACAACATGCAACACGAACTCTTGGAGTATGCACTTACTCTGGGGTATGAATTATATGCAACTGTATTGGCCTCTTCAGGTGAAGATATATTATGTCGATCTGAACCTGGAGATGATCTGCTGGAACTGGAAAGTGGTGGCAGACCATCATCTGGAGCGTCACCTACAAGTGTCCTGTCACTATCTGTAAGACTGCTGTCCTCACTGGCACTTTGATCACTGTGTCCAGTGGCACCAATCCCTTCTTCTTCTGTATCACCTGGTGGCTGTGGAGAACTGTCACGCAAAGGATTGCCAGAACAGGCAGGAGACATTATACAAAGCGCTGAAGCACCATCACCACCACCACCACCACCACTGGCTAGTTCTTCATTTGTACTGCTCTCCTCTGTCAATTTGGCGTTTCTGCTGCTATTGCGGTTTACATCGAAGTTCAGCACAGAAATTCTTAATTTCTCCAGCAATTCTGAGAAGATTCAAAGATATATAATTGCAAAGTTCTATCACCTACAAATACAGAAACTGCTTCAAGAGACATGATGAAAAACAGAGGGATAAATGAAGATGGAAAACAAAGAAAGGAGGAAGAATGAAATCAGTCAAAATTGCTCATTACTCTGTCTCCATTTCTGCATTGTTCAGAATAGCACTGCTCTGCTAAATATAGATTTATTTTTAATGACTTGGATCTGAATGTGTTATGATCTGGTTATTCCCTTAGACCCTGTAATGCATTAATGAGGTTTTACTCAAGTAAAAGAAGTGTCTACCTTACCTTTCCTTGAATATGGCAGCACAACTTGAAGAGATATTATATGTTCAAACCTACTGATAATTTTGTGCAGTTTTGAAATGACAAATGGTTTTTCTGGATCGTCATCACAAGAAGAAGCCACAAAAACCTGCAGGCAAAAGAAACAGACACAAAGATATATTCAGGATTATTTTAGTCTCCTGAAACATAACACATTAACTTATAAAATTACCTTGTTAGATCCATAAAACCCTTCAAATTTCAGAGTTTTATCATCATTGTCCAGCAGCTTTGGCTCACTGCTGTACTTCTCAAGAACTACTTTCATGGTTTTTGGATCTAAATGGAGTGCTTTGGCTAATGTGACTTTGAATTCTGCCACTGTCTGAGAGAGGTTCCCTCGCACAGTTGTAGGACCATCTACTTCTTCAGTCTCAAGATCAACTACAAACACTTTTGTTGCCACGCCTATAAATAAAAAAATCTTAGTAACCAATAATAGCAAGTTTATTTCAATATATTTTAAACATCATGTTAATATACATATGAATAAGAAGATCAAGCAAGTAATTACTATTACATTTTTTTGTCAATTAATATCTTTAATCTTTTTATGTATCTACACATTCACACATTTGTAATAGTCATTTCTGTTCATCTACACAGCTGTAAAAGAAATTAAAAGATGTATCTGGATACAAAATTTTTAATTTTAAACCATTCCAGCTGTAGAGGGTTGAAATTGAAGTTCATGAAATTCTTAAATTCAGTAAAACTTCCACTCAAAAGATTAAGGACACACAACATTTTCAGACTTTATGTAGGACTAGGTTCAGCTGGTTTCGGAGACAGTCCAGTGGAAGGCCCTTGTGAATATGGTACTTAACCCGTTGGCGTGGTTTGACGTGTATGTTTCGTCAGGTATTTAAATCGTCTGGGGGGGTTCGACATGTATGTTTCGTCCAGCTGCACACCTATGTTATAACGCCCATAATAATTGATGGTTTTGCTGTAGATTGTTAGATTTTTCGCTGGCCTGTTGTCAGTAGTACAGAGTATAATATGACACGTCTTTATCTGCGCTAAGTCATCGTTACATATGCCTGTCTTGCAGCAAAGTTCCTGTGGCTCTTGCTAGCGGTTTCACCGTTATGAATGTCGTGTTTTCTTTGCTACGAAGTTATAAACAGCAGAGACGTGATAT